CCGGAATGATTCAAAGGATGTTTCCATGTATGGAGCCTTGTGGAATCTCCTTTCTCTTGCCTGCACACTGGCTTTGTAATGCAGGAAAGGGGGTTACCAGGCAGAAATCCGGTTCATTATTATTATTATTTATTATGTCATAGCTGTGACAGTGTCATTGTTAGCAGTCATCCCTCCTCGAGGTAGCCATGGGAGCATTCAGGTCCACATGAATATTGATCAGAAGCCCAGATTCCAGGAACAGAGTCTGCAGGCCAGTTGTTTAGCATCACCCCCCATCTCCTGGGGTTTAGCCTCCTGCCGTTTGCCATTGGCTGTCATGGGGGCTCAAGCTGGTGTACACAAAGCCAAGCATCTGAGGTTCCCCGATGACCAAGTGGCCCCAAGGGAAGGTACAAACATGCTGCATAAAGGCAGTGGCCTCCCAATCTGAACACACACTGCCTGCTGCCTGTGCAACCTCTCTGGTGACTCATCTGTTACAGTGAAGACCTCTGGCGCCAGCGGCTCCCTTCTAGCAGGAACTGGGTACGTTGGCAGGTGTCACTGTCTGTAACATGCCAAGTGCAGGGCTAAGGCTGCAGGCTGTTTGCATTGGCAGCTGTTCTGTGCAGCGGCAGAGGACTCAGCTGGACTCTTGGGGTGACTCAGTGATGCGGTTGGAAGGGAGGCAGCATTAGGGAGTTTGGGAACCCCTCACCCTACAATTGCCCAAGCTATATGTTTGGTGGTTCATGTTAAACAGAAATCCGACTTTCAAAGTGAGCTCAGAGGGATAAAACTCTGATGCCTCCAGTCAAAGTTTCACAGAGGGTCCTATTTCTGGAGGTGCCATGTGCTCTGGGCTCCATCTGCCAGGGGCTGACCAAGGGGAGACCCCACAGACACATTCCCAAATTGCTTTTGGTTTATTTGTTGCTGGAAATGTAATCGGCAAATGCATTTTCGAGGTTTTATGCTCTGGCTTTGCAACAAGAATTGGATATGGAATTCAGAGCACTGTAACAGCTCTGATAGGGGGTATTTCTGGTTCCTGAGTGGTTGGGAGCTTCAGCATTTATGCCCTATAGGGACCTCTCACAGTTACAGGGCTACCCGCATCTCTGATCCTCTCTGGTCTGATCCTCTCTCTGAATTCCATATCCAATTCTTGTTGCAAAGCCAGAGCATAAAACCTCGAAAATGCATTTGCCGATTACATTTCCAGCAACAAATAAACCTAAAGCAATTTGGGAATGTGTCTGTGGGGTCACGTCAGGCCTCATAGCCTAGACTCTGATGAGGTGGAATCCATGATCCTCCCACCCTCAGATGGAGTCCTGTGCTACAGCGCACTGTGGGTTGACTGTGCTTGACCAGCAGGCCAGAGTGGGTTCAGCACCTGTGGTTCTTCCTTTTGGGAGGCTGTGACAAGTGGTGAGATGGGACCACCCAGCCGTCCTGAACCAAAGTACTGTGCAATCTGAACATCAGGAAGAAAGCGTAAGATCGGAGATCAGGAGAGATAAGGGATCTCTCAGAAAAGGCTTTATTTTCCGCAAGATCCGCGTCTAGACTGGCGCTTTTTTCCGGCAAAGCTCCAAGCCGAAAAAAAGCGGCAGCCATTTTTATGCTAATGAAGCGGGGGAGATTTAAATCCCCGCTTCATTAGCAATTGCGATACGTCTAATTTCCATCCCTTTTACGAAAAAGGGATGCAATCTAGACGTAGCCTATAGGTTTCACCTCATACATTCATCACAAACACTCCAATATTATACACTCCCATTATAGCTTTACAGTAAACATACCAAGAAGGGGATTTAGCATAGGCATTTATTATGTCAGTCTCTTACAGTGCTGAAGCAATCCAAATGTCAAATCTCTATTTTGAGTCTCACTCTAACCCAAGACATCGGCTCTGAAATTAGATTCCGGGAGAGGGAACGGGTTGGCATGTGTGTGCTCAAGTACAAGTGTGTAAATGTTAGGACACATCTTTTTATTGTAATACAAATATTATGAGGTGAGATTTCCTGACATTCTTGATTGTGAAAAGCCAGCAGCAGCATTGGTGGAAATCTCTACAGTGGTAACTTTAGTGCGTAATGGCTTTTCCTTTAGAAAGTGTTTCAGAAGTACTCCATATACTCTTTGCAACGGGTTTATGCAATTTACCTTTGTTACATGAGTGCTTGTGTGATACTCTCTCCTGATAACTAAACAGATACTGTATCTAACACTATTAGGGTCTTTCAGGGTCTCTTCAATACCTGTGTAAGATTTTCCAAAAAGTCTGAGAGAACAACATCATGGGTCTGTGTTCCAGCAAAGAAGTGCATGAAATAGGACTGTAATAATGCTTATATGTAATTGACACCATCAGCTGTCACACTAGCATGACTGAGATCACTTCCACACTGACCTGGATGTTAATGCAAACTGAGCTTTTTGCCCGTATTTGGGATTCAGTTCTCACCCCCACCGAGCTGAAGTAACAGTGTTAACTTGTAATTTCACATGTATGTACGGACCCTTGCATGGGGGGAGGATATAGGCCCTATGAGGATGAAGAGAAGCTGGGTATAATTCAAAGAATCGTAGAATACTAGGACTGGAATGGCTCTCGAGAGATCATCGAGTCCAGTCCCCTGCCTTCATGGCAGGACCCAGTACTGTCTAGACCATCCGTGATAGACATTTATCTAACCTGCTCTTAAATATCTCCAGAGATGGAGATTCCACGACACACCTAGGCAACGTATTCCAGTGTTTGACCACCCTGACAGGTAGGAATTTTTTCCTAATGTCCAACCTAAACCTCCCTGGCTGCAGTTTAAGCCCATTGCTTCTTGTTCTATTCTCAGAGGCCTGGAAGAACAAGTTTTCTCCCTCCTTCTTGTGATACCCCTTTAGATACCTGAAAACCGCTATCATGTCCCCCCTCAATCTTCTCTTTTCCAAACTAAAGCAGCCCAATTCTTTCAGTCTTTCTTCATAGGTCATGTTCTCTTGACCTTTAATAATTCTTGTTGCTCTTCTCTGGCCCCTCTCCAATTTCTCCACATCTTTCTTGAAACGCGGTGCCCAGAAATGGACACAATACTCCAACTGAGGCCTAATCAGCGCAGAGTGGAGCGGAAGAATGACTTCTTGTGTCTTGCTCACAACACACCTCTTAATTCAGTCAATATAGGCCAGGCAAAGACCTTTAGTTTCTCTTCGAGAGATTCTTGTGGGTCAGAGTGTATAACTGGGGACATTTCGGGAGGGAAATTTAATACAGCCCAGGTCTGATTGAATTTACACATGTATATCTGGAGTGATACTATTGATGACAATTGTATTGAATTCAAAATGTAGTGCTCAGCATTTATCCAATGGGGTGTGAAGATGCAGCGGCATGATTTGTACTTTTTGGCGTGTAGAAAATAAATATATATATAATGAGGCAATGGAACTTATTTATAAATAGCTCCAGTGCAACACAGTTACATATAATAGCCATTTTCACAGTGCACTTGCCATGCATTTACACATGTCATGATTCAATGGGCCACATCCAGTGCCAGAGAGGGTGTGTGTGGGAAGATCACACCTGTAAAATCACACCATGCTCAAGTAGTCAGCGGAACTCCCAGCCACAGGATGTCCATGAGGAACAGAGCTTAGCAGGATGCAAAGAGGGACTGGATATGCACATAGTGTGACAGACCCAGACTGGCTGGCTGCAGTAGTCTGGTCGAAGGTGAGTACGCTCATCACTGGATGAATAATTTTCTGTTCACCAAAATGACCGGGGCAGAGGCTGCTCCAGAGCAATCAGAAATGAGCTAGAACCAATGAAGTCAGGCAGACACCACTGGAAACCTGGAGCTAGTTAAGAACCTGCTACAAGCGATTAGGAGAGACCCACTAATCAGAACACCTGCAGCCTATTGAGAACCGACTGGGATTTCAGACAGGGTGACACGCGAGGGGCTGGGAGTAAAGCGGAGCACTATGGAAGAGCTGGGAGTGCGAGTGTGGTCATGTGCCAGGAGCAAGTATGCTGGAATGGGCCATCTGGGGAAATGGCCCAGGCCAGGGCTATAGGAAAACTACCTGTTACCGTTGCCATTAAGGTCCCTGGGCTGGAATCCAAAGTAGAGCCTGGGCCCGGGGTTCCCCCTAACCCTCCCCACGCCACAGACACACCCCACATGAGGGGAGACTGAGATTAAGGAGGGATCTCACCGCAAACCCATTGACTGGCCTACAACGAAGGTGGCTCAGGATGCTGTGACCCCTGCCTCCTGAAAGGAAGAGAGGCTACGTTGAGGGTCACAGTGAGCCTCTGAGGCAAGCCCTAACCATGTAGAAGTGCGGGATCCCTGAGGCAAAACTGGAGCTTTGCCCCAGTGGCTAACCAGAGAGCCCTGTTACTCTAGAGGCGACTGATTTAAAAAACTCCTAGAAGATATCTAATTAGTAGGCTTCGGTGGAGACATTTTGAGCAATCCATCTCATAGCTACCCAGGACAGGGCCTCTTCTTGGGTATGTCTAGACTATTTGGCTCCGTCGACGGAGCCATGTAGATGAGTTTACTAGACATAGGAAAATGAAGTGGCGATTTAAATAATCGCCGCTTCATTTACATCAAAATGGCTGCCACGCTGTGCCGATCAGCTGTTTGGTGGCACAGCGGGGCAGTCTTGTCAACCACTCCGGTAAACCTCATTTCATGAGGCATAACGGAGCAGTCGATGGAGCCATGTAGTCTAGACATACCCCTCCAGTCCTCTGCAGCAATTGGAAGTGCCCACTCGATAATGGACTAAGACCACAGGTCTGATCCAGTCCTGCAGGGCCTCTCTTTCTCTTGGTGGTGTAAACAGAAGTCTTTTTGTCTCATCTTCCTTAAGTTTCTCTAGACTTGCACTGAGAACAGAAAGAGGTCTTGCTAAATATCATGGAGTCTCTTGTTCATTTTTCTTTCAGGGAGGAGAGTTCACAACTAATCAGACCTCCCCAGTGCATGATGTCAGCTGTCAATGACACCACCTTCACACACGCCGTGTTCCTTCTCACCGGGATACCTGGACAGGAAGACATCTATCTCTGGATAGCTGTCCCCTTCTGCTTCATGTATGCTACTTCGATAGTAGGCAATTCAGTCATTCTGTTCATTGTAAAAACAGATCCAAGCCTGCATGAGCCCATGTACATTTTCCTTTCCACATTGGCCATCACAGACCTAGGCTTATCTCTAGCCACCATGCCGACGATACTGGGCATGTTCTTGTTTAACTCCAGAGAGATCTGCTTCGATGCTTGTTTGGCCCAGCTGTTCTTCATCCACTTCTTTCAATGCATTGAATCTTCTGTGCTTTTGTTGATGGCCTTTGACCGCTTCGTTGCCATCAGTAACCCGCTCAGATACACATCCATTTTATCCCCGTCTAGAATAGGCAAGATGGGGCTGCTGTGTGTGCTAAGAGGATTGATTGTAATGCTGCCACTCACCATTCTCCTGAAATGGTACCGATACTGCCGAGCCAACGTCCTCTCCCACTCCTACTGCATGCACCAGGACGTCATGAAGATGGCTTGTTCAGACATCAGTGTCAACGTTATCTACGGCCTGTTTACTAAAGTCTTAACAATGGGGTTGGACTCACTGCTCATCTTCCTGTCCTATGTGATGATCCTCAAAACAGTCCTGAGCATCGCGTCCCGCACGGAGACCCTCAGGGCCCTGAACACCTGCGTCTCCCACCTCTGCGTGGTCCTGCTCTTCTACATTCCAGACATCAGTTTGAGTGTGATATACAGGTTTGGGAAGAGCTCTTCTCTGTTGCTTCAACTGCTCCTGGGTTTCATCTCCCTACTGGTTCCACCCCTGATGAACCCAATCGTGTACAGCGTGAAGTGCAAACAGCTTCGTGCACAGCTCATCAGGGTATTTGTCAAGTGAAGGGACAGTTCCTCCCGAGTCTCCAGTGCTGGTGACATGGGTGACAAAAAACTCCAGCCATGGACAAGGCCACTGCTTCCATCCTGGACCCTTACATTGGAGATGGGATAAGCTACTGCTCTCCACTCTGCAGAGAGAGGTTCACAGGGTGTGTAAGGCCTGAAGCAATGGTAGAAGGGCTGTCCTCACACACTGCTGAGGGAGGATAGCGCATTGATGGAAGGAGACCAACGCTGGCAGCAGCATTTACATAGTGACTGTGGTCATGGAGAGCCAAAGGACTGATCTCACAATTGCTGTCAGTACAGTCAATAAAGAGAAGGGAGGTGGCTGTTGTTTCCCATGGGACTTGACCTGAGCTCTCTGGGTGCTGTGTGACCCCTGAGCTGTGCACAGGAACTACTCAAGGGGCACAGAGCCCCACACTCCCCCTACTTCCTCAGCCAGGAGGTTGGGGCTGAGTCTTGTCAAAGACGGGTTTATATCGTGAGCCCCAGGAGAAGCCCATCAGGCGGCCCCTTTTGGTGACTCTGCACATCACACACTGGCTGGGCCCACTCCCAGCTGAGACGGGGCAGAGCTGTGGGTGTGAGGGGGGGGGGGTCTGGCACACAAGAGTCCTGGCAAGAAACTGAGGCCCAGGTTCCTTCCCACTCCTTTGCTGCTCCTGCTTCCTGGAAAGCTCTGGAAACGGCCCTTAGCTCCCAAGCTGGTTCCTATCTTAGCCGGGCCCATTCGGTGTGTGGTGTACACTTTCTGCAAAAGGCAATACTGGGAGAAATGCAGGTTCCACGTCCTCTCTGGGACTCCGCCCCCGAGTTGCAGTTTTCCCATTCAGGTCCCACCCTCAGCCCCATCACTTTCCCCCAAATGCCACCCCCTTCTCCTCCTCATGACCCAAAGTTCCCCCTGTTAGAAGCTAGAGCCAGGCCGTGGTAAAAGTTGCCCAGGGAGACAGAGCCATTATGAGGCACCTCAGACCCTCCTTCTGCTCTGGTTATGTGGCTGGAGGGGTCTGAGAGAAGCCCCCAGCCTGTTTCCCTGCTCCCTGGGACTCCATCCAAGGGGAGATGGAGAGTCCAGGGAACCCAACTGCGGAGTGGTGGCCCAGGGCAGCTTTGCCATGACCTGACTCTGGCCGGGCTAAAGGGTGGAGCCTCGGGAGCAATGGAGAACCAGGGGGCAGGGTCTAGTGGGAAAAGATGTGGGGAGTCAGCAGAAAAGGAGGAGCAGGGAGTCCAGCAAATCTGCACCAACACTGGTCCCAGGATGCTGGGTAGTTTGGGGCTTCTGTATGAAGGATGAGGATGGGGCTGGGGGGCAGGAGAGCCCATGTTTTGGAGCCTCACGAAGACTGAGAGTCAGCCATTACAAGGGTGTCTACAGGTCTCACCTTGGACCCACAGTGACAGGGTCCAGGCTCACACAGGTTTCAGCAAAGGCTGCTGTCACAAGAACGGGGCAAACAGATGGGAAGAGGCTCTCGGCCGGCATATCTACACAGGAGGGCTAAAAATCAAATTAAGCTACACAACTTCAGCTACGTCCATTGCATAGCTGCAGTCGAAATAGCTTAATGGGGCATTTTGCGCTGTGGACACAGCAGGGGGTCGAAGGAAGAACACTCTCCTTCCAACTTCCCTTACTCCTCGTGAAATGAGAGTGACCAGGAGCCAGACTGAGATGTCCTCCAACTCATCATGATTTTGAAAAGGAAGTCTAGTGGTGTTGATGCGTGCCATGTTATTTCGAAATAACGTCAGTTACTCCCGAAATAACACTGCTTTGTAGACATACCCAGAGACACAGGGAAACTAGGCGAGCTCCCAATAACTCCTTCCCTTGGTTTCCATTCCCAGCTTTTGGCAAACATAAGCCAGAGTTATCATTCCTGCCATCTTGGCTAACAGTCATTGTTAGACTTTTCCATTAATTTCTCTAGCTATTTTTGATCCCTGCTATAATCTTGGCTTTCACAACTTCCTCTGGCCAGGAGTTCCACAGTTTCACTTTGCATTGTGTGAAGAGACACTTCCATTTATTTAGTTGTTTGAAACCTGCTGCCTGTTAATTTCATGTTATGCTCCCCCCAGTTCCTTTTTAGGAGAAAGTAAATGGGAATGAATTATTTACTCTATCTCCACCCCCCGTCATGAGAGGAAGAGACCTCATTTATACAGTAAAGATATCACACAGCCTGGCTCGATTGTGACAATCTTGATTCTTCCTGGCCAGTATCTATCGAGTTCCTATCAGCATTCAGAGGAACAGCTTGTTCAAGTTATATCCAAGGTAATGGCCCACTCAAGGCTAATTCACGGACTTGAAAGCCAGCTGGAACCATTCATTCATCTAGTTGGACTTGTCTCAGGGGTAGCTGTGTTGGTCTGTAAATTCAGAAACAACGAGCAGCCCTGTGGCACCTTAAAGACAAACAAAAATACATGTAGGCTACGTCTAGACTGCATCCCATTTCCATAAAAGGGATGCAAATTAGACGTATCGCAATTGCTAATGAAGTGGGGATTTAAATCTCCCCCGCTTCATTAGCATAAAAATGGCTGCCACTTTCTTCAGCACAGAGCTTTGCCGGAAAAAAGCACCAGTCTAGATGCGGATCTTTCGGAAAATAAAGCCTTTTCCGAAAGATCCCTTATCCCTCTTAAAAAAAGCTTAGCCCTCAGGCCTTCCTTTTGCGAGTGCTCCACTTGAGAGACAGCCAGCAGCACCACCTCTTGGATTTGACAGCAAGTCTCACACTATTTCCTGCCCTTCTTAAAGCCCCGCTTCTGGAATCCACTCACTGTGCAGAAATCTCAGGTCTCTGTTTTCCTAAGCAAGTGTTTGTAAGTTAGTGAGTTGCAGGAAAGCTAGAAAATCTGACATAGGGGAAAGCTGAGAGAGCAGACACTCAGGCTCTGTCTACACTCGCAGCTTCTTGCATGAGAAATATGCAAATGAAGCTAAGCATGGAATATTGCCTACACTGCCAGAAAAACCCTCTAGCGCAATACCGCTATGCCAATTATTTTCAGAAATAACAGCATTGCGCAAAAGGGTTTTTCTTGCACAAGAAGGGGTGGTTAAGACAGCTCCCCCTGGCACAAGAACCTCTGCTGCAAAAATAGCAGCTCATTAGGTATGCAAATGAGGCTCAGCAATACCCCACACAAGAAGCCACGAGCATAGACATAACCTCAGAAAGAACCTCACATGAATATACTTTTGCATCTCATTTCTACACCACTCTCATTATTGAGAAGTGATATGACTCATTTCTAGTGAGGCTTGGTGATACTCCACCCCTAGCTTGAAACATCTGAAGAACAGGTAGCAAAATAAAATAAAATAAAATAGAAGCAGAATTTTGAAAAGTACAGAAGAAAGAAGCCTCCTCCCCTTGCCAGCCTCTGCACTTCTCCCCTTGTCAAGGAAGGACCTGAGGTAAAACACACCTCCCCCACATCTGTCGTGCCTCAAAAGTAAGCCTTCCCCTTAGCTGGGCTTGTAGTTTTTCCCTGGAATAGGGAGCCCAACCTCTTCTTCTGCAATCCCTCACTCTCCTGCTGATTCTCAACTGAGTAGCTGTTGGTGTTTCTATCTACCTGTCTCTCTTCCTTCCTCTACCCACCAGGCAGGGCTTCTAAAAGGTCTCAGGCAGAAGTGAAATCAGCTGACCCTAATTGGTCCAAGACGGCCCTGTACCAGCTGCTCCTAATCCATGTGAGACAACTCCTTGTCAGCTGCTCTTGCCTGACCTGCAGTGACTCAGTTCTAATTAACAGGAGGGGAGTTGGCTTTTTACCCTTCTCCAGCTGCCTTTTCTCACTCTCCTGCAGCCCTCTTGTTTGAATTTGTCAGGGCACTAAACCATGATCAAGCTGCGGCTGAGAGGTAAATGAGTTCTTTGCCTTTTCTTCACTGCAGAGCATGTGAGGTGGAAAAAAAAGGAGGCACTGTACCACACTGAGATATCGGTAGAGGAGGTTTTGGACTAATCTGATACATGGAACAGTAATTTGTGACCAGTTCCATGTGGGATTCACCCAAGAGTTCTGAAGGAACTCAAATAGCAATTTGCAAAAATAGTAACTGTGCTATGAAATCTATGACATATCAGAAACAGTATTAACTGTGGTATAAAATCTACAACTTATGTCAGAAATAGAAATCATGGCATGAAATCTATGACTTATATGAGACCTCCGTGCCAAGACAATATGGAGATGAGCCAGGCCAATAAGCCTAACTTCAGTACCAGACACATTGGTGGAAAGATACTAAAGACCAGAATTATCTGTCTCTCTCTCGAGCGTAGCAATGATCACGGAGCCATTAAGCTTCTAGAGCATCAGTAATGGCCCTCCCTAGCATATTTAGAATTATAAACAGATCCACGCTTTATATTTCTAACTCTACATATCAGAATGATCCATGCACAAAAACTGGAGGTACACATTCAGCAGAACACAATACTAACAATGAATTGTTACAGGAGCTATTATGACAAAAGTATCTTCAAGTTATGGATATGCATATTCATAAATCAATTTTCATAAATCATGGGGGTGACATTCACCCAAACTAAACTAAAATGTTTCCTTTTCATCTGTATTTTTGGGGTGTGATGTCATAGACAACAGTTCATTTCTCTCTGAGATCTTAGCTGCCAAGATGCTGCTCTGCTGCGTCTGTTTGGATCCCAGAGACAATTTGGAGGATTTTCATCTGCCTCTCCCTTGTTACGTAAACAAAGATTACACTGATGGAGTCTATGGCTGCCCTCTGGGTTTAGAAAGAATAAAAGCTCCCCACCAGTCTACAAATAGTGTGTTGCACCCATCAGCTACTCTAACCAGCCTTCCCACCAGTGTGTAGCCCACTCCTTCCTGTACAACACCCCTTGAGCAGATCATGTGGGTAGTGACTACAGGCCTTGGTAACGCATCTCTGATCAGCCTGTGCTAGCAGGGAGCTGGAAAGGGTTCTAGAACAGCTGTGGAGGCCCAGAGATTGTGTGTGGCTGGGCCTGGCTACCAGTGGGTCAATGAGATCTGTGCCTAACTTTGGGGACCCCTGTTCCCTAGGTTCATCTTTTCACTCCTTATTATTCATTCCGGAATGACTCAGAGGATGTTTCCGTGTATGGAGCCTTGTGGAATCTCCTTTCTCTTGCCTGCACACTGGCTTTGTAGTGCAGGAAAGGGGGTTACCAGGCAGAAGTCTGGTTTATTATTATTATTATTATTATTTATTTATTTATTATTATGTCATAGCTGTGACAGTGTCATTGTTAGCAGTCATCCCTCCTCGAGGTAGCCATGGGAGCATTCAGGTCCACATGAATATTGATCAGAAGCTCAGATTCCAGGAACAGAGTCTGCAGGCCAGTTGTTTAGCATCACCGCCCCTCCCCTCCCTCCCCCACACATCTCCTGGGATTTGGCCTCCTGCCGTTTGCCATTGGCCATGACGGGGTTAAAGCTGGTGCACATAAAACCAAGCGGCTGAGTTTCCCTGATGGCCAAGTGGCCCCAAGGGAAGGTACAAACATGCTGCATAAAGGCAGTTGCCTCCCTAGCTGAACACACACTGCCTGCTGCCCGTGCAACCTCTCTGGTGACTCATCTTTTACAGTGAAGACATCTGGTGCCAGCGGCTCCCTTCTAGCAGGAACTGGGTACGTTGGCAGGTTTCACTGTCTGTAACATGCCAAGTGCAGGGCGAAGGCTGCAGGCTGTTTGCATTGGCAGCTGTTCTGCGCAGCGGCAGAGGACTCAGCTGGGCTGTAGGGGTAACTCAGTGACAGGGCTGGAGAGCAGGCAGCGCTAGGTAGCTCAGGATCCCTCCCATATTCCATGGGGAGGCTATTTTAACTACACAGTAACCTGACATTCCAAGCAAGCTTGGAGTGTTAAAATCCCAGTGTTCCAAGCCAGGATTTGTAAAGGGGTCCTATTTTGAGAATTTTCGGGTGCTCTGAGTTTCATCCTGTCAGGTGTTGAGCGGGAAGAGACCCCGTGGAATATCAGTGACTAGTTTGCAAATCACCTCAAGTTTATTTGCTCCTGCAAACTGAATGAGGCTTTATTCTCTGGCTTAATTGTGAAAGCAGGAATTCAGAGTTGGGTTGCTCTGTGGGAACAGCTCAATCGGGTATATTTTAGTTTCCTGAATGGCTGAGGAGGTTAGTTTTTCTGCCCCATAGAAACTACTCACTGTTCAAGAGATACCAGAATTTCTGTCCACTTTCTGGCCTCCTACTGCCACACGTCAGATTTTGTATCCTGCTCTCTCATGAGGTGGAATCCATCGATCCTCCAACAGTAACACTGGTCCTAAGCTACAGCACACTGAGGATTGACTGGGCTGTCCAGCAGGTCCAAGTGTGTTCTACACCTGTGGTTCTTCCCCTCAGGAGTCTGAGACTAGTGGTGAAACAAATGACCAGCCAGCCTTCATGAACCAAAATGCTGTTTAATATGAATGGCAGGAAGGAAGGATTACATGGGAGAACAAGAGGACTTTCAAATAACAGGCTATCTGCGTCTCTTACCCCAAATTCTCCCACTCTGATGGGGACACAGACAGCGTAGGTGAATGGCAGGAAGGAAGGATTACATGGGAGAACAAGAGGACTTTCAAATAACAGGCTATCTGCATCTCTTACCCCAAATTCTCCCGCTCTGATGGGGACACAGACAGACGTAGCTTCAGACTTCCCCAGCAGCATCTGTGCCTGAGTCAGGGCTGTTCTCCATTCTGGCATTCCAAGTGAAGAAGGTGGGGACCCACAAAGATCTTAAATGCCTTGCCTCTTTAGGCTCTGCTTACCAAAAAACAACAACCCCAAAACAAAAAATAAACTCCCCAGCGCCACAGATATGCTGGCTCTGAAAAAAGACCCCGAAATCCTGCTACCATCAAGTGATTTCACCCTAAAAATCAGGAGAGAACACTTGAATTCCTTCTCCAGGGGTACCCTGAGTGCTTTTGCCCCAAAAGAGCTTGAAATAAGAAAAGAGAGAAACAAGCTGCAGTTTCTGGTAGCTGACCACTTGTCTTAGGCAGGCAAATACACACACACAGATCCACTGTTACTTCCAGGACACAAGAATTAAATCATCATCTTCAAAGAGTGATTTGTATTAACAAACAAATGATATACGTGATAAAGCATATTTGGTTGCTTGGTGTTACAGAGCAACTAAGTAAAACACATTACAACACAGAGGAAATCTCTTGGAACATCTCTTAGATAAGGAATGGGGAAGGGAAGTTGAAACCAAACGACCAAAATAAAGAAAAATACCCTGATCATGACTAGCTACTCTTTCTCCTCTACTCACGATCCATGCTGATCTGTACTTCAAGCTCCAGTCCACTCCCATGTCCAATATTTCTTATAGGCATGGTGATACGGATCCCTGCATCTGCTCCCTCCAGTCCTTTTCTTAGAAATCCCCCACAAAGGAAGAGCAGACCAGGCATCGATATCCAATTCAAATTTCAGCACTGTATTCCCATTGGTTCTTCTGGCCCCCTGCCAACACCCTGAGTTTAACCCCTTAGTCACTGGGTGCTGGCCGGCACTCCTCCTGTCCATCACAGCCTGTCAGACTGAAGAGCTTCTCTGCAAAAGCTGCCGTACCTCTGGGCGGACTCTAAGCACTGTCAGAACAAGCTGGGTAACATGTCTGGAGCCTGGAAATAGGATCTTCCCAGCTTTTAGCTCTGGTGTTACTTTCAGCTTCTCTGATGAGCTTTACTTAGAGTTGACTATTTTTCTCCTGTTGCTTCCCTTCCTGCTTGTTTTGCAGCAACCTGCTGTGAAACTAAGAACAAGAAGACTGGTTTAACCCACTACAACCATAACAGCAACATCGCAATAGTTAGCCCAGTATAGCTCTACCACACCCTATCCCCCCCCCACCACCACACACACGCATTGATTATTGTATCAGAGTTGTTGGAATTTATAGAGGAAGGAGCCGTGGTATCCTTACTGCTTTTTCTGTAATGCCAGCCCTTTCTGTGTCTTGCTGAAGTAACTGCCTGTCTCAGCTTGTAACTTTCAGGACACCTACAGACAGACCCTTTCATGGGGATAGAACACAGGTCCTGTGAGCAGGAAGAAAAGACTAGACAATGTTTGAATTCTCTGTATTTCGTCACCATTTGCTAGGCAAAGCATTTCAGCTTTTCATGGAAGAATTATTGGAGGTGGAGAGTGTAACTTGGAGGCTTTGGTGAGGGAAAATTAGTACAGTCCAACTAGGATCTTATTCACATATATAAATCTGGAGTGATGCCTTTGAAATCCATGTTATTGAATTGAGAAGCACTAAGTATTTATTCCATGTGCTGCAAAGACACAGTGGCCTAATTTGGATTCTTCAAAAGAAAGAGAATCAAATATATATAAAATGAGTCAATGAGAAACATTTACAGAGAAATACACTCACTGTCTTCACCATGCACTGGCCATGCATTATACACATATTACTGTAAATGGGCCACACTCCGAAATAGATGGACAGAAAGTGTGTGAAAATCACACTTGTAAAATGACACAGTGCTCACGTAGGCTGTGGAACTCCCAGCCAGAAGATACATAGATAGATTCAAAGAGGGGTGGGATGTTTACATGGGCAAACAGATAATCCCTTTACAGTAATGAGCATGATTTGCAGGGATTCTAAACTTTCCTATGTACATCACAGACTATTTCAGGTTATCTCATGGCTGCCTATTGCAGTTCTTTTGCCTTCCTCTGAGGCATCTGAAATTGGCCACTGGATACTTGGGTAGATGAAATATAGGTCTGATCCAGTCTGGCAGTGTCTATCTTCCTATCAGTAGTGTAAATCCCAGATACATCTCCCTTAGAGTCTCTAGATCTGCACTGAGAGCAGAAGGACACATCACTAAATAGAATCTAATCTCCTGTTCTTCTTTCTTTCAGGAAGGAAATTTTGCAACCTCTTGGACCTGCCCGTACAAGATGTTAGCTGTCAATGACACCAAATTCAACTACGCCATGTTCCTTCTCAGTGGGATAACTGGGCAGGAAGACATCTATCTCTGGATCGCTGTCCCCTTCTGCTTAATGTATGCTATTTCCATCGTAGGAAATTCATTCATTGTGTTCATTATAAAAACAGATCCAAACCTCCATGAGCCCATGTACATTTTGCTTTCCATGTTGGTCATCACAGACCTTAGCTTATCGATAGCCACCATGCCAACAATATTGGGCATATTCTTGTTTAACTCCCGGGAGATCAGCCTCGATGCCTGTTTTGGTCAGCTGTTCTTCATCCACGCACTTGGTAAAATTGAATCCTCTGTGTTGTTGTTGATGGCTTTTGACCGCTATGTTGCCATTTGTAACCCACTGAGATATACTTCCATCTTGACCCTGTCCAGGATAGCCAAGACAGGGGTAGTTTTTTTGTTAAGAGGGGTGGCTATCATATTCCCTCTGCCCTTCCTCCTGAAGCAGTTCCGATACTGTCGAACCAATGTCCTCTCCCATTCCTACTGCCTGCACCAGGAAGTCATGAAGTTGGCTTGTTCAGATATTAGTGTCAACAGTGCCTACGGCTTGTTTATTACACTCTCCACGGTGGGGTTGGACTCTCTGCTCATCCTCTTGTCTTACGTGATGATCCTCAAAACAGTGCTGACGGTCACATCTCGCACGGAGTGTCTCCGGGCCCTAAACACCTGCGTCTCCCACCTCTGCGCCGTCCTGCTCTTCTACGTACCAGAGATCGGCTTGCCTGTGATCCACAGATTCGGGAACAGCTCCACTCACTTGCTTAAAATTCTCCTGGGCTATGTCTACCTGCTGGTTCCACCCTTGATTAATCCAATCGTGTACAGTGTAAAAAGCAAACACTTGCGTATGAGGATAATGAGGATACTGTTCAAGTGAAGTATCAATTCACCCACCCACACACACATATGCACCAGCCCCAGCGTGATTGACACAGGAACTGTGTAGCCAGACAGGAACCCCCCTTGTAACATCCATTTTTGCTTGCCTGGAGCATACAGGGCACACAGAGCAGAAGGCCCAGGCTGCTGTGACCGTGAATGGCTGTAAACAGAGATACGCCAATTGCTGACCAAGAGGCTGCCAAGGAGTGCCCTTGACTCAAACCCATATTGATACGAACACACATCCATCCGCGGGGGGAGGAATCTCTCGCCCAGTAAAAAAATGTCTAGTATTCACAATTTAGTTATCTCTCTTGCAAGTGTAAATTAACTTGAAACTTGCTTGTAAGAACTGGTGCCACAAAACGGACCAGTACAATTCGGCATCTTAGATAAGAAAGAGGATATGGGCCCCCAGGGGTATATAGATGGGTCCAGCAGCACATTTTCTCTGATTGTCAATCTACCATCTATCTGCTGGTCGGGTTAGGTGTTTGATCTCCCGAGGTTCCAAGGGGACGCCCACCTCGTAATCGTCTTTCCTAGGAATTGAGAGACCGGCCCTGGCCTGACACGCTGGAGTCGAGAGGCACAGAAAGGGGTAAAAATTGTACCTGGATGTGGTCCTTTGCTTAAGTATATATATATATATATACATAGTGTTAGAGCTCTTTAAAGATTAAGCTGTCACTTGGTATCATTATTTCTATTTTCTATCTTTACCTTTTTCCTGTGATCATTTTTAAGACCTATATATATATATATATATATATTTGCTAGCATTTAAGAAATAGAGCAATAGCCATTGTAACCATATGCTTTTATAAGTCTTTTAATAAACCTGTAACTGTTTAAGCTTTAACCTGACTCCTCCAGTTGCTGTAACAGAACCAAGCACAATTTAAAAGAACTTCAGCCGGTCATAAAGGGACAGACATAGGGAGAGCTTGGGCGTTTGGATCTGTGTCACTCCCAGGTGACAAGATCCGTTGGGGCACCTTTTCAGCCTTTCCTAGGCTGCCCGCTGCGAAGGAACTTTGTGTTCTAGCAGCTGAAATCTAAGGTGTAATAAGCTCTTCCTATATAACGGGGCGTCTGTTGGCCTGCTGGCCACCCTCTGCGATGGGACCCCGGTCCTAGCAGTAAAGACACAGACGTTAAACCTTTTCTCGGAAACACACACACACACACACACACTGCCCTGACCGTCGGCTGACAAACTGTAAAACATGGACCATAGGTAGCCATTCCATCTTGAATCCTTACATCTGAGACCAGATGAGCTGCCCACTCCACTCTCGAGAGAGAGGTTCAGAGCAAAGTCTAAGGTGTGGGGCAATTGGACAGTTGTTGTCCTCACCCACGGGTGAGGGTGGGAAGCACATTGGGAAAAGAGACTGAAGCAGGCGGCAGCATGTACAAAATGACTGTGTTTGTGGAGAGCCTGGGGATGCTGGCCCATCAAGAGCCACGTCAGTGGTTGTGCCAACCTTAGAAATCCTGCCTGTACTGTCAATAAAGTGAATGGCTGTGGAAGTTAGGTCCCATGACATCAGGCCTGTCGCTGTTTCATCTCTGGTGAAACATCCAGGGGCCATGAAAAAAGCTGCAGAGCTGTTCTGCAGTCGCAGTCCTGGCCCTTCCTGAGCACTCTGGGTGCTGCATGATCCAGGGGCTGCCCCGCTGTGTGTTTGCATTTAGTCGGCCCTATGCATTTTGGTGGATTTCTGTTACATTTGCACCACACAATACAAAATGGTTGCCATTTGTATGTGGGTTCATTCGCGATGGCGTGGTTTGCGCATATCATTGTTTTTGCTCTTATTCCAAGTGACCATTGGCTCATGCCGAGTTACAAACTCTGTACAAACACAACATACATTAAAAACAAGCCCACATACAAGGTAAAAGCCCCACTCCTACAGTTTGGTGCACATGCCAATCAGGAGAAGGGTGCTATTCTAGAATAATAATTAATTGGAGCCGAGTCAACATCTCAGCTAAAAATAAACATTAATTTCCCAAGTGCATGAGTATCGTACAAGCCATTACTGTAAAGGAGGGAAAGAATGATGTTAATCTAATCTTCATGCGGTTTGAGACTTAAACTGTAAAAGCAATAAAACCAGAAAACCAAAACACATTTCTCATGCCAGAGAGCTGTAAACCTGGTGGACAGGATGCATGGGTTAAAAAATCCTAAATGCATGGGTTAAAAATCCTCTAAATATGGGAATAGAGCAAACTTGATTGTACTAGAACAGGGCTACTCAACACAAGGCCCGCGGTGCAGTTTGGGTTTACATGGGGCTCAACATATGGCCCACAGGTGGGATCCTTTGAACAAGGCCTCTACTGGGAACACACTCCACAATGGGGAGTCAATATAATGGTCTTCTGTTGCTATGAATTTTAATAGTTAAATTCCCGGACTGCCATTGCTCATTAAAAGTGCTGTTATATGGGTGGAAATTGGGTAAATCTTGCATTTTATTAATACCAGCAGAACTGACTTCAATGGGGCCTGCATGTTTTGTAACCTTGCCTGAATCTTTGTATTCATGCCCGTCAGTGTGAAATAAGCTATTTGCATATATTTGCATATATATTTGCATGTATATGCAACCACACTTGAGTTGCGGCCCTCGGCATGTGCTATGAGTATCATTGTGGCCCCCGGGGCTTCCAAAGTTGAGTAGTCCTGCACTAGAAGGTGACTTACCTCCATATGATCAAGAATATCCAATGCCCCAAACTAAAATATCACTAAAACAAAAAAAGCCATTAAACAATCCAGAGATGCTCTGAGCCTAATTCAGCACCTGTCTACCCAGTAAAAAAGACAGAGGGAACTTCCTTTGGTAAAGATGGGCACCATGTTTTCCTCTTTTCCAGTTGTTTGAGTTTTCAAAGATAACGGCTAGTGGCTCTGCTCTCACATAAGCCAACTCCCTCAGCACCCTCAGAAGCATTAGATCCAGCCCCATGGACTCATGCTTGTCCAACTCTGCTAATGAGCGGGGATGGGTGGCAAACTCACAAAAGGATTCATCCTCGGGTGAGCAGCTGGGAATCTCCCATTTCTCCTTGGCATGTATGATCATCATGCTAAAGACCCAGCCAGTGTGAGAGTCTGATGAGGAGAGTCTGAGGGGTTTAGTCCTATAGCACAAGGGACAGAGTCAAGCGATCAGCAGGCAAAGACAGTTTTCCCCCCAATAATTTTTTTCACTCAAACTAAATGTTTCCTTTTCATCTTTTGTGTGTGTGTGTGTGTGTGTGTGTGTTAGACAGTGTAGAAAATGGATCATTTGTCCCTGAAAGCTCAGCTGTCACCATGCTGCCCAGCTGTGGCTGTCTGGATCCCCAAGACAAATTGGAGGATTTTCAACTGTTTTTCCCTTGTTACATAAACTGACCAATTCTAGGACTGCCCTTTGGATAGGGAAAGGTTGAACCCTCTCAACGAGTCTCTGGCCGGGGTGGTGGGCCCATCAACTACTCTAATCTGCCTTCCCGTCTCTGTGCAGCCACCTCTACCTTGCACAACGCCCCTTCGGTAGATCCTGTGGGCAGTAGTTGCTGTAACAGGTGCCGGTGGGAGGGTGAGGTTGGCCAGGCTACCTTTGAACCACTGAGATCTGTGCCTAACTTTGGGAACCCTTGGATTCTGGTTCCCCTTTTCATGATGGAATGATCCAAAGGAAATTTCCATGTATTGAGCCTTGTGGAATCTCTTGTCCCTGGCCTGCACCCAGGCAGAAATCTGGTTGTTTATTATTCTTATTCTTATTCTTATTCTTATTCTTATTCTTATTCTTATTCTTATTCTTATTCTTTATTATTTATTATTTAATAAGCACAGTCACAGCAGAGACAGTTTCATTTGTAGCCCTCGGCCCCCCCTCTAGGTAGCCATGGAAATACTCAGACTAATATGAACATTGCTCCCAAGCCCAGATTCCAGGAAAGGAGAATGCAGCAGGGTTGGTGCTGCAGGTCAGTTGTTTAGCATCAGCCCCCATCCCTTGGGATTTGGCCTCCTGCAATTTGCCACTGGCTGTGACAGGGTTAAAGCTGGTGCACACGAAGCCAAGCAGCTGAGGTTCCCTGATGGCCAAGTGGCCCCAAGGGAAGGTACAAACATGCTGCATAAAGGCAGTTGCCTCCCTAGCTGAACACACACTGCCTGCTGCCCAAGCATTCTCTATGATGACTCCTTTATCTTTACACTGAAGATTCTGGTGCCAGCGGCTCCCTTCTAGCAGGAACTGGGTACGTGGGCAGGTGTCACTGTCTGTAACATGGCAAGTGCAGGGCGAAGGCTGCAGGCTGTTTGCATTGGCAGCTGTTCTGTGCAGCGGCAGAGGACTCAGCTGAGCTGTCGGGGTGACTCAGTGACAGGGTTGGAGGGCAGGCAGCCCTAGGTACCTTGGAACCCTCCTTTATACTATCCCACCCCCTATCTGCTCCATGGGGGCTGTTTAAACTAAACATAAATGAGGCACCCATCTGTCGCCCTGACAGCTCATCTCGAGAGGTATGCTGTCTGCCAGGGGCCCGTATCCGAGATGTTATGGAGGCATTGTCGAGGATTATCTGGCCCTCTGACTACTACCCCATGCTACTCATCCACGTGGGCACAAATGATACTGCCAGGTGTGACACTGAGCGGATCAAGTGTGACTACAGGGCTTTGGGAGTACGGGTGAAGGAGTTTGGAGCGCAGGTGGTATTCTCTTCTATCCTTCCTGTCAAAGGTAGGGGCCCGGGCAGAGAGAGGTGCATCCTGGAGGTGAATGCCTGGCTGCGACGATGGTGTCGCCAGGAGGGATTCGGCTTCCTTGATCACGGGGTGCTCTTCCAGGAAGGACTGCTTGGCGGAGATGGAGTTCACCTTTCCAGGAGCGGGAAGGCCTTGTTTGGACACAGACTGGCTAACCTTGTGAGGAGGGCTTTAAACTAGGTTCGACGGGGACAGGTGAGCAAAGCCCA